TCCTGCTGTTGAACACACACATATTGGTTCAATATATATGGGTTAGAGTCAGCAGATGGACAGTTGAGCATGGTGGAAACGAGGGGGGTAGCTTTCACTTCCATGCTATATTTTCTTGTTGGCTTGTAAAGCTCTACAGTACAATTTGACGAAGATGTAACAAGACAATCCAGTGCAACACTTAAAATATGAAACCCCACCATCCTGGAGTCAGTGTGTCCACCCATAACCTGCTGTGCTCTGGTCCGAATTTAGAGTGAGGGAAGGAAACAGAACTGAAATATCTATGGCATTCATTTCTTGGCAGATACAATAGCACTCCAAACTATTTTTGTAGTTCTATACATCTCCAAAGTGCTGCTTTCTCCTCTTTTTAATTTTTTTTGACAATGATATGTTGGGCCTCAAACCATATATCTTTACTCTTTGCACAAATCCCAGCAAAGTGTTGCAGAAGGTTTGCCGCAGTGGGTCTGCTATAAGCTTCACTGCAACTGGAGAAAAGCTGCAGCAGCACTCTCGGACATTGCAACTGGTTTGCACTGGAGTCAGCTTCGGGGCTTTTGGTGAGGCCCAGTGCAGGGGGACTAACTCTTAGGTACTTACTTGACAGCCGGCTTGAAAGCTCTGCGGTGAGGGATGTCATGCCGCTAGCCCTGCCGGGTGATATTGGCGTGGCGGGGTGCACGGAGGGGGTGGCAATGGAGCCCAGGTACTGGTAGGACTGGTCATAGGACCATGGCGGAGATGGCTGTACTTGCCTTGTGTCTGTAAGGAAAAAGAGACCTATAGGCTGTTTTGAATGATAAAACTTTGCAATCAAATATGCGAACCAAACCACATGGTGGAAATAGAGACTTAAATGCCAAGATAATTACATTTCAGTTCCATAATCCCCTTTGTCAAGAGACTTTCAGGTGAACTGCTTTCTAAAATATCATTTGTGCGTCTGTGAGTTTTGATTGGTTGATTTTTACTTGTGAAGCTTTTTTATATTTCACATTGATGGTGGGCAGGGAAAAGTGGTCAAAGAAAAGCATATTAAGCTTTAAAAGGCCATTCATTGATGAGATGCATTAGTATTTCGGGCTGTGTGTTTACAGCCCTTTTAGCCAAAAAACCATGTGTTTCATGGCACCAAGGAGGCAAAAATACTAAATTGTGAGTGTTTCTGTGCAAGTGTGCTTAGAGAGAGAAAAGTAGAGAGAGAAAAACAAGATGAAAATGTGTCTCTGTGTGTGTGACGTAGAGATGGAGACTGAAACTAGTGTCTTTCAGAAGGCCGACAGACTCCTAAGTGGATGAATAGGACTGGGGAATTTTACTTTCTTGATTTTTTCTAAATCTCAGGCTTAATGAAATGAACACGTATTTCATACATCTATTTTATGTATGCTAAAATACAGAAATATAGTTCAGAGTGATGGGTAAATCTACTAGCAGTGGCTGAAGTTCAGAAACAGAAAGCCTTACACAAGCTCTATGACACTGCTGAGCTGAAAATGCATACACCGTTTGAGTACAGCCGTTCTGTAGAAACTGCTGCTTCTTGGAAGCAAAATCCCAAAACGTGCAGATGCGTAAAACATTTATGGAAAGACACTAACCTATTATTTTCTAGCCACACTACTATTTTGGCTGACGTTTGAAATCAGAGATGCATGGAAGGGGGTTTGTCCAAACCAGTTGCACCAATACAGAAACAACTCTTTTCTGCTTATTTCATCTTTGTATATGAAGCTGACACTTTTCAGTGTATAGAAATGTCTAATTTTTATATAAATCAAAGTGAGAAAAATTCCTCCCCCCTTACCTACCCAGAATTTTTTTTTACTATTTTCAGTAAAGTATTTTCTTTTTTCTTCAGCTCTAAGAGCATTCTCCCACAGCTTCATCTAGCTAATTGCCTTTTAGAAAAAAGCAAAGTTGGACGAACTGCATTCAGATAAAACTGAAACCAGCATGGAAGGGAAATTTCCCAAGTCTGAGATGAAGGACTTTGATCTTCCATCAGAAAGCCCATCTGGAAATTATTATTTTGTTGTGCTTTATGGAGATGAGTTTTACATTTTGTTTGTTTCATCTGTTGAGAAGAGAAGATTTATACAAAACTCTAAGCTTTTAAAAAACTAGTGAAGTCACTTGCAGAGTAAACTAAAGCCTTGTAGAGATTTTTCTGCTGAATAACTTATTTCTATTCAGATATTATTAATATTTAATTTTTTTTTCAGGCAAACTTCCTTAAAAAGAAATTCGGTTGACTCATGCTGTTTTAAAAGCAACATCCAATTGGATTAAGTGGACTTCAGTAGAAACAAACAAAAAGACACAGGCACAAAGCCTGTCTTATTCTGAATTACAACATAATCTCATTGTTAATGTATGGTCAGTGTTTATTAAAGATGACAGGGAGACAGATGAGGGAATTCAGTCTCCAGGGGTAGCATTAGGATGAATACCACAAAGCAGCAGCACAGCAGGTGTTGTAATGGGACGACACTGTGTGCTTCAGTTCTAAAATGGGATTAATTAAATCATGACTGCCTGATTTCAGCACTCAATCCCATTGATTTCAGTTCAGCACTAGAATCATGATACTTGGGCTGGAGAGATCGCAGCCCAAAGATGGAGACTCCCTCGATTGTCCCCTTGCTGTGCTCTGCCAGGGCTGATGCCGCAGGGGACAGAGCCTTCTGTCTGTCACCTCTCTCCCAAGGGCTCTGTCCAACCCAGTCACTGCAGAAGTCACTGAGCCCGTGAAGCTGGAAATGTTTTATCACCTGCATTCAGGTGCTCTGTTCTTAGCACTTAGCACAGCCGGAACGAGGGAAAAAGTCTGTCTTTAGAGCGATCTGGGTATGGGTGAAGGAGGTGCTGCCACCCATCCTCGTTTTTCAGGCTGAGAGAAGCAAACATGCTCCCTGTTTTCTCCTGGTACAAACTGTCCTTGCATGGTGGGGCAGCTCTCTGACACTTTTCTCATGTTTCTCACATTGCTGGCTCTTCAGGACAAGAGACATGGTTTTGTCCTGTACCTTGCCCAGCACACATGGGATCCTGGTCCATAAAAATCCTCAGGTGCAATGAACACATGAAGAAGATGCAGAAAAAGCTGCAGCAACAGAAGAGGAAGCAGAACCTTGTCACAGATTTACTAAACACTGACAAACTTGAATTGAAACACAGTTTCTTTATTTTGGTGCTACTGTAATGAGCACTGTGCTGTGTCTTGACTAGAAACTGAAACATGGACCAAGTACATATCTAGTAACATCCAGAAAGAGGCTACCGCAGTATCTGACCGGCCTCATCCATTTGCTGCTATTACTGACCCCTGAGGTACTTGAAACAGTGACAGACAGCCCGAGAGACCCCCCATTATTAATCTCCTCATTCCATTAAGTCTTTCTTAAGTGAAAGTTCAAACTACCAATCAATTTTCCATCTTGGTACCTGTGTTCCCAATCCCTGCACTTGCTCTTAAAGATTGGCTTTTTGACATCAGACTGGTTAACGAGTCACAAACTATGCAGTGATGTTAATATAGCGCATTATATTATATACACATATTAAAGCAGGTTGTGCTGACTAACCCCAGGCATCACATTCACAGCTGTTAAATAACAAGCAGAGGAAAGTATCACTGTCATAGCATTTTTATGGCACCATTTCAGTATCAAGAGGCAGATTCAACTCCCGGTAAAGGTTTGCAGGATCTGGATTAGGAGCCACAAATAGCATTTTATTTTTGTGATACCTGCTTTTCTTTAGCTTTCAGGTTACCTGAAATTAAATTGGAATGGGTTCAATTTTGCCACAGGACTAAGCTACTCAAAAAAGGGCAATAAACTCTTTCTGAATCCATCTCTTTTCTGCTTTCAAAATAAAGAGGTGCACATCTCAGAAGTTAGTAGCTTGGCATGGGGAACTGAATGTGTGGGTTCACGTGGCTGAAGTTAATTTGGTGCAAATATGCTGCAAATAAATGGGAGTTGCTTCTGAACTCAAGAGCATCTGTGAAGAGATTTGCAGGGAGAGCTACTTCAACAAAGGGAAATAACAGGGCTTTGGGCCCACACGGTTTTAAAGCCAAAGAGGATTCCAAAATCATTTAAAAGCAGATCAAAATAGCACAAAACCAAGGAAGTTGCTCCAGTTGGTGATCTATGCCCAATCCGCTCAGTGTTTCTCCCATTAGCAAGTACTTTCCATTTCTGCTTTTTTTATGGTGTGAGAAAATGTATTTAAAACATGAAAACAGTTATTAATTGCAATAAAACACTCCGGGGCGAGAATTATGGTGCAATAATTCACACCTTGCTGTGTAGTCAGGAGTTCTCGGCCTCTAGCCTCATGCCTAACAAGCTATTAAGCAGAAAGTATTGAACCATCTCTCATGCCTCGTCATGTTTTATTGCCACGAAAAGGTTGTGTTCGGCTTGTTTTAAAAGTTGTAATTAAGCTGTACAAACGTTGCATAATGTTTAATAGTTTAATGAAACAAGCTTTGGTTGGAGACTCAGGAAAATAATAAAAAAAAAGCCAATCTCCCCCTTTCATGATGCTCCCTCTGGTCCTCCTATTTAGCGTTTTTCCAGCCACAGAAAATGCAAAGCCTGACCCCGGGGGAGGCGGAGGGCGCTCGGCCGCTGCTTTCGCCGGGAGGTGGCGGGGGCAGCAGCGCATCAGTAGGTGGCGGTGGAGACCGTGCGGAGGGCGGTCATGGTGGAGGGTGGAGGGGGGAAGGGAGCGGCTTTCGGGCTGCTGCCTTCGGGACCCGTGGTGAAATAAACCGGCTTGGGCCGCCACAGCCCTTCATACGGGCTTGCGTTCACACCTGTCGGTGTTCCCAGCCGCTGCTGCCTAGGGGCAACCCTGTGCTGCGCAGTCACTACACAGAAGCAGCATCTCTCTTAGGAGCAGCTCTGGGCCCACTGTGTATCCAAGAGCATGGGTGCACAGGAGAGATCATAGAATCACAGACTGGTTTGGGGTGGGAGTCCAGTCCAACCCCCTGCCATGAACAGGGACACCTCCCACTAGACCAGGTTGCCCAAAGCCTCATCCAACCTGGCCTTGAACACTTCCAGGGGGGGAGCGTCCACAACGTCCCTGGGCAACCTGTGCCAGTGTCTCACCACCCTCACAGTGAAGAAAGGCCAGCTTCAGATTGGCCTTTCCATGTCAGACCATCAGATGTTCAGAAGACATTCTAGGGACAGGTGGGCAAAATGACTACAGCTGGTTGAACATGAGCCAGCAGTGTGCCCAGGTGGCCAAAAAGGTCAATGGCATCCTGGCCTACATCAGGAATAGTGTGGCCAGCAGGACCAGGGAAGTGATCCTTCCCCTGTACTTGGCACTGGTAAGGCCACATCTCAAATACCGAGTTCAGTTTTGGGCCCCTTGCTATAAGAAGGACATCAAGATGGCGGACCGTGTACAGAGAAGGGCAATGAAGCTGATGAAAGGTCTGGAGCACAAGTGTTGTGAGGAGCAGCTGAGGGAAGTGGGGTTGTTTAGTCTGGAGAAAAGGAAGCTGAGAGGAGACCTTATATAATGCTCTACAACTACCTGAAAGGAGGGTGTGAGGTGGGGGTTGGTCTCTTTTTCTTGGTAGCTAGTGATAGGACAAGGGGAAGTGGCTTCAAGTTGCACCAGGGGAGGTTTAGGTTGGATATTAGGAGGAATTTCATTACTGAAAGTGTTGTCAAGCACTGGAACGGGCTGCCCAGGGATTGAGTCACCATCCCTGGAGGTGTTTAAAA